ATTGAAAAACAAAGTTAGCAATACTAAGGTTTTGCTGGAAAAAACTTGAGTATTAGTTTCTATGGTGCTGTTTTTCCCGTGAGTTGTGTCTCCGTGAAGATATTGTTGCGAGTACGATATTAACCAATGAATAAAGAAAAAAGTGCATCCGTCAAACTTCTGTAGGTCATGTGGGCAAAAACACTGTGGTATAACTCCTACATACTTCCTCTGTAGTACTTTCTTTTTAAGCAAATGCTACATAGTTTCCGTTAAGTGGACTATTATTATTAACAGAACAATCTAGCTGAACACCTACCATTAAAGGATTAACGAGAGCTTATGACCGCTGAAAATAATAAGATGTTAGAACAAAGGGGTTGTGTGTTAAAGAGTAATAACGTTATGGAGATTATCCCTTTCTTTTGATCAATTGCGCAAGTTGAAATTAACATTTCTTAGGAAACTCTTTCCACTTCCTGTTCATAGCCAAGGTGTAAACTGTTTGCGTACGTGTAGGAAAGGAGAAAATCTTACATAATACGTATTTACAGCCGTTGAGGAGGTACAGCTGAATATAATATTAAATAACGAAAAATTCCCGTAATGCTTAGTGATTCTGAAAAATTATGGAACAAAAACAGATTTGTATAAGTTGTTCAAAAATTTCGATACCTATTCAGAAAAACTCTTACCATGCTTTACCGCAGATTTTGTTTGCGGGTCAGATCTGTTCCAGCGTAATTTTGCAACAACAGAGAACATACCGTGTCTTATCAAAATAAAACACGTTTTTCTTAAAGTGAACGAATATCCATAAAGGTTCAGGCGCGTTTTCAAACCTCCTATCTATAGAAATTTGAGCAGTACAGTACTTTCGACAAGATCCACCGAAAGCCCTCTTAATTTGTTATTATCGAGAACATGTAGCTAAAAACTAATGACTTCCTTCAAAAAATTCGTACGCGCGGTTTATGCAACGAGATACATAAATTAGAAAACTGCGACACTATGTTCTTGCAAATAGCACCATTTTGATAAGCCATCTATCTCTTTTCTGCTCTTCTATAACTTCATAGTCAGCTGGAGACCACATGCTACAAGTACAGTATCCACCTAGCCAATGAGGTGAGACCTATGAGAAAGCAGCGCGAAAAGGTCAAAGATATGACTGAGTTTTGAATAGCATGCGAATGGAATCAAGGTGCAATCCGATTTCAATAACGCCTTCGCGCTGTCCATTTCTTGATTTTGCGTGTAACTGCACAACTTTCACGCATGACAGTAGCAAATTGATTTGTTTTCATTCGAGGCGCAATTTGCACATGTTCAAGCCATTGGCGGCAAGTGCAGGATAGCACTGCTATGTAAATGTGATTGAAAGCTACCGAAAAATTCCTAATTTAGGTACCAATAGCGCTGCAAAGGCGCTTTAAACCTTCTGTGAAATGCGAACAGATAACTATGTATGTTCTTACATATCTAACAGGTGTTGGCGTAGACTTGTAAGCGTCATGTGCCCTGACAATCAAAGCCAAAAGCGGCAGAGGTGGGCTTGGTTGTTCGTCACCACGATGACATTTTGTTTTTGACGATAATCGACCACGTCGTCCAGACAGGGAACCGTGTCGAACGACTGAAAATGCATTTACATGAGAGCAAACTTGAAATTACAAGGGAGATGTTGAATTTTCTCTGCTTATGTACCATACTCTGGTTTAAGGTAGGTTACAATGGGAAAGAAATTTAAAAGTTGTTATAATAAAAACTAAGCAAATACACCCATGAACCTTTTTTCAATAGATGTATGGAATCTGTACCTAGAAGTTTTTTAAACTAATCAACGCCGAAGCAG